GTATCAATCCATCTACATCTAGACTTGTTATTAGCCCTCCTTTCATACAAAAAGACTCTTGTCAATCTTCTGATCTATCCTTAGGTGGCTTAAAGATTGACGAAAACTCTCCTTTCAACATATCTTCGCGAAACACGGTTATGCTATTTAATTGTTCTGAGAATATCCTTCAGTCCCCATTGAACTGTTCTTCAACTAGCCCTTGTAGGAAGTTTGAGGAGTCGAGTCGTGAAGGAAGGAACTGTAAGAACACATTGTGTTGCAGTTACTTGAAAGATGCATCGATGACTTCTCATAGAATTAGGGTTAGGGTTACAGGGTGCACTGCCTATACTTCTTTTGTTGATTTTAAGGCTGAAGACTCTATTACTGCATGGCACTATGGCATTGAGCTACAGTGGATACCTCCTAATTAACTGAGAATGCATGGTTACAGCATGCATGGCCTTTCAACATTATTCTCAAAACTTTGTACATCTTCGTGTGTGCATGAAAGTATAGTACTCTAATAATTTGAGAGTGATGTCACGTACGTCGTTGTAATTTCTAGTCTATGGTTGTCGACTTGTCGTGTCTTTAATTTGTGCATATTCTGTATGGTGTTGAACTATATATATCCATGTATTTGCAAAGAGTTCAGCAAAGAAAAGAGACTTCTTCTCTTGCACGTATGTTTTTTATTTATTCAATCATGAGCCGTAGCGGATCTAGAATAGATACAACGGGTTCAATTGAATCCACTGTATCTAATTCAGATATTATATAGACACACACAATTCAATTACTCTAAATCCTCAATCAGCCATTGTTTGTTTAATAATGAGTTCCTTTTATCTTCTTCCATTTAATGAGCTGATGCAGTAACAATTCACCACTTGGATATAATTCGGGAACACATTAAAACAAAATTCCAAATATACGTTTGAACAGTTCGCAATGCTATATTGTACTGAAAAGTGAAAACAACTACATATGAAATATTAACTATTGCTATCATGCACGAATGAGAATATTGATAGGATGCAATGATGATAGTGATTACGACCAGTCACTGAAAAATTAAGTGATGTTGATCATAACCTCGTGTTCCTATTGTAGACCACGGAATTTACCTACACTTTTTAAGAATGTTATTTTTTTTCATTTAGGCATTTGATATCTAGAAATTTAATGTCCAACTAGTTTGAATTCATGCCGAATAAGCTCACTAAGGAGCTAATATGCTTCATACCTAGAGGATCTTAATTCACAGAATTTTAAAGCGTTTTATCACAACTAAAATTGTAATAAAATGATTCTGTAGATAAGTAACAAATGGTCTGATGTCTAATATCGGGAAATGTCGGATAAATTGTTTTTATAAGTTTGAGAATCTTTGCACTAAATGTATACATTTTAATCATTACTAGTATACGTACTCGCGCGATGCGCGGATCATATCAAAGAATATTAAATTATGATAGGGTTTATTTGAACATATTAAATTGTATTATTTCATTAAATTTTTACAATCATTTATCAATAATCAATAATATTTTTTGTGTTATTTACTTCATTTTATTTTAAAAAATTAAAGTATAACATCGCTATTATTTCTGTCTCCTGCTTTGTGCATTTTTTCAATTTATTTTATCGACAATTTTTTCTCCAGTTAGTTACCTATAATTTTTTTGTGAAAGAATTTTTTTTATTGATCTCTACCGGACAAAGTTATTTACAAATGTTATATCCCTACCATAATCTATAAGCTACTCTATCTAGCTCAACACCAAACTGTATCATCCTTGCGCATCCCTACTAGGTAGGTCTGCCCTATTAGAATCTAGTCATTTTTTTTATCTATACAAATAATTGATCCACTCTATTTCTTTCCTATTCTTTCTGTTATCTACTATAAGTTGCAGCCTGTACTTGCTATCCTCTTTAATGCTCTTCCACATCTTTGTTGGCATTGGCACTTTCTGATTCCATAGAGCTTCATTCCTTGCTCGCCATATTTCATACATTGTTGCTGTGATGATTGAGGTCACAAAACCTCTGCAGATTCTCCCCTTTATACATCTTCCTATTCTCCTCCAAATGCTCTGCATATCTGGTTGATTTAGCTTTATTCCCAACCAGCTGCATAGTTCATCAATGCATCTTCTGGAAAGCTGGCACTCGAAATACAAGTGCTGTACTGTTTCATCTTGCATTCCACATAGTAGACATGTTTTCTCCTGGCTCACTCCCATCATATGCAATCTGTCCCTTGTAAGCAGTCTCTATCTCATGATCAACCAGCCTATAAAGCAGTGTTTTGGAATATTTAATCTAATCCAAATCCATCATGCATATGGCCACTTAGGTGCTGCTCCTCTTCTCCATTGGTATCCTTCATTTACTGTGTATCTATTCATTTTCCCCTTCCACCCTTTTTTTTCCAAAGCCTGAAGTAAAGACTGTTTTGATATCACATATCTTCTTCCAATACCATGCACAATCTTGTGGTGGGTTGTATTGTCACCAATCCTTACCCTTTATGTATATGTGATTTTGCCATTTGACCCATAATGAATCACTTTTTTGCTCTATATTCCATACATATTTTGCCACTGCTACTTCATTCCATGCCAAACATTCTTGTATTCCTAATCCTCCATCTCTTTTTGGTCGGCATACTAGGTCCCATGCTACCAGTGGTGATTTGTTCGTGAAAATTTTCCCATCCCATAAGTAATTCCTACATATAGCTACAATTTCTTTCATGACCTTTTTTGGAAGAATGAATATGGATGCCCAGTATGAGTGCAGGTGTAGCAACATAGTGTTTACCAATTGAGTTCTCCCTGCATATTGTAAGTTTCTAGACCCCCATCTTTTTATCCTTACCAGAATCTTGTCTATCAGCATTTCACAATCTACTACATTTAGTTTCTTTGGTGATATAGGCACTCCTAGGTATTTAAATGGTAGTTTACCTTTCTTATATCCTGTCAGCTCACATATGTCTTCTATCTATCTTCCATTCATACTTGCACAGAAGATATTCAATTTATTTGCATTAACTGTCATACCAGATGCATTTGAAGATGACTTGAGACCCCTTAGCATGAGCAGTAATGATGCATAATTTGCTTTGCTGAATAGTATCATATCATCCGCAAAATATAGGTGTGTCATCTTCAATCCTTTGCATTTTGTTTGATAAGTAAACTCTTTCTGTTTAGCTACATGCCCCATGATTCGCGTAAAATATTCCATATAAATCACAAACAGTAGGGGTGAGATTGGGTCTCCCTGTCTTAGTCCTCTTTCCCCCTTTATTCTGCCATAGCATCGTCCATTTAAGTTTATGCTGTGGCTGATTGTTGTGATACATGCCATAATCCACCTTATGAACAGTCCAGGGAAGTTTAGTGCATGCATAATTTCCTCTACAAACTTCCATTCAATAGAATCATATGCCTTTTTCAAATCCACCTTTATTAAGCAGGTTTTAGTAGTTTGTTTCCTATTATATAATCTGACCAAATCTTGACATATCAGTATGTTCTGCACTATTGTTCTCCATGCTACAAAGGCACTTTGGTTTTGTGAGATGATGTCTGGCAGCACCATTTTCAATCTGTTACACATCATCTTTGGGATTATCTTGTACACCACATTACAACATGCTATGAGTCTATAATCTTCAACTGTTGTAACATGAGAATTTTTTGGTATGGGAGTGATCACTGTATTGTTAAGAGCTTTGAGCATTTTCACAGATTGGAAAAATTCCAGCACAGCTGCAGTGATATCCACCCCTACAATGTTCCGGCTATCCTTAAAAAATTGACTTCCATACCCATCAGGTCCTGGTGCCTTTGTCCCTTCTATATCCCATAGTACCTCTTTGACTTCCTTTTGTGAAAACTCTCTTATCAGATGATTCCTTTGTTCTTCTGAAACAATCTGTCCTTCTTTAACTATGTGGCTTGCCACATGATCTCTGTTCTGCTTGTCAGTACCCAGTAAGCTTGTATAGAATTTCCTTGAAGGTATCAGCTACTTCATCTATTGATTGGACTGTTTCTCCTTGCATGTTCTGGATTGTGAATATTCTGCTTACTGCTCTCTTTGCCTTGATCACCGAGTGGAAGTAGTTTGTGTTCATGTCTCCATATTTAAGCCATTGCACTTTACTCTTTTGCTGTAAGCAGTTTAATCCTTCTAGTATATGTATTGCTTTGTCAATTCCATCCCCTCTTTGCCTAATCTTTCATTCCTGGGATCTTTTTGTATTTTCTCTTGGCATTCTATCATCTTCTTCATGCTTTCATCTTCCTGTTTCTCTATTTCTGCAAACTTGTCTCTATTTAACTTTAGCAACACTTTTTTAAGTCTGTTCAGTTTTTCCACCACTATAAACATGTTTGTCCCCTGTATTGGTTGTCTCCAGCTTCCCTCCAGTCTTGTCATGAAGGAATTTTCCATGCTTCACATGTTGTAGTATCTGAATATCCTCATCTTAGGCGCACCTGTTCCCTCCCATTTGATTATTGCAAGACTATGATCATATACTCTTGCTGGCATATAATGAACCTCGGATGCTGGCAATTTATTCACCCAGTCATTGTTGGTGATTACCCTGTCAATTCTACTGAGCACTCTATCCTGTCCTTCATGTTTATTAATCCATGTATAAAAACACCCCGATGATTTTAGCTCTTGAAGTCCACAATGTTCCACACATTCCTTAAACTCTTTTATTTCTGCATATGTCACCTTACTCCCTACTCTATCCTCTTGATTGAGTATAGAGTTGAAATCTCCCATAATTGCCCATGCCCCTACCATTTGATTAGCTATCATTCTTATGTCTCTCCATAAGTCATCCCTTAGTGCTTGATCATTAAATCCATACACCATTGTCACATTAATCCTCTTCCCTGTGCTACTGTGAGTTGTGATACTATGAATGAGTTGTTCTGTCACCATTCCACTTTTATAGTAAAAATCTGAGGTCTCCACAATATCTATATCCTTTCTGCATTATGTTTAGAATGATTTGTAGTATAGGACCACTCTGTGCAAAGATTAAGAGCAGCTTTGTTTGCCTTAGCTCTCTTAATCTTTGTTTCCTGCTGCTTATCATTGTTACTCCCATTTGCTATTGGGGTAATGTCCCTTGCTTCCTTTTGTTGCTGTTCCTCTGGTTTCTCCTTCCCCATGTCACCCTTTGTATTGTTGTTGCCTGTTTCTTTTGTGATTAGCTCCCCTGCCTTGTCCTGCCTTAATTGCTTTCTACATTCTCTAATATCATGTCCAAAATTGCCACATACTTTACAAAATATTGGTTTCCATTCATAGCTAACCTCTTGCTCAATGATCGCTCCACATTCATTCTCAAACATCACCATGTTTGGATATATCTGATTTGGTTCAACTTCAACCAAAATTCTTGCAAATTGTAGCCTCTGCTTTTGTGTTGTTGCTATGTCCGCTTTTAGAGGGTTGCTTATCATTCCTGCAATTTTTGTTAGGGCATTTTGACCCTAGTACTTGATATCCAAATTCATCAATCTAATCCACACAGGAATTTTATCAACCACCCGCTTATCAAATTTAATGTCCGGTGACATAATACTAATCCATGTTCCACACGACCATTGTCAGGACCCAATTCCATTATAGGCCGTGATGGCGCACAACATTGTGGTTAGGCAAGCTAACACTGATCAATTAGTGATTTTTCATTTTAGATAAATTTGTAAACAATGGCTTTTTCCTTATTTAAAAAAGAAGATTTAGGAGTTTGCAGTTTTAACATAAATAAATGGAAGCAATCAGTACGAATCGTAATCATGTGAACAAATCAAAACCATAAGTCTACTAATGTAGCCAAGACCTAGTATCACAAGTATGTGGGCAATCTAGTATAATGTACAAAACAAATGCTAGCCTACTGCCTGAAAGGAAATAGACTGAAAATAAAGCATAAGAGAGACTCCAGCTGCTGTAGAATAGCTTAAAAGGGCAGCTCACCGGGAAGTCTCAAGCTGGGGACTCAATCTATGCACCGCACTGGTGGCCAGATACACCTGCCTCAAATCCTGTACAATCAAGTACAGAAGTGTAGCGTGAGTACATAAAAATATATACCCAGTAAGTATCTCGTCTAACCTCGAAGAAGTAGTGACGAGGGGTCGACTCCGACACTTACTAGGGCCAACAATATAACAATATGAAGTTCCAAATTTAAATCATAATGTATGTAGATAACAATAAGCTTAGAACAAGAATAATAACTGGAAAATCCTTCCATCATATTTAAGAATTTAAGGCACTTTCTTCATTTAAAAGAAGTGACTTTTCAAGCAGCAAATTATACAAACTATAAAGAGCTCCAGTTCTATTATCACACACAAAATACCACCGAGTACGTTCGACCCGATCCAACATAAATGTAAATTTTGCACTGCCGAGGGTCGAACGGCGGGAACCATAGATGCATCTATTCACCCCGCTCGCGAATCATAAATGCGTTGCGGTCAATATAAATTTAAGGAATTACCCTGCTCGCGGATCATGCGTGCGACGCGGTCAAGTATAATTTTATCATTTAAATCATAACCCTTTCTTGATTCTTTTAAAAATGAAGACAATTCAACTTGAAGCCTTTAAATCCTTAGAAATCCTCAGCTTACTTCCTTTTGTTACAATTAGCACGTATAATCAAATAATGGTGACCACAAAGTATGGTGTAGACCTATAACTACCGGATATAACAGAAATAGTAGCTACGTACGGACTCTCATCACTTCGTGCATACGTAGCTCCCACAAATAATCACATATTAATTAAATTCACCTATGGGGAAATCTCCCTCTTACAAGGATAGAAAAGAGACTACCTCGCCTCAAAGCCTACTTCCAAACTCAAGAATGCGCTCAAACCCTCAAATCGGAGCCGAACAATCCAAAACTATTCAAATAGTGTAAAAACCAATCATATAAGTTCAAACGTTCATATTCTAACTATTAAAGTGATTACCCAACCCCAAAGGCAAGATTCCTAAAATTTACCTCGGGCCCACGTGCCCGGATTTTAAAAATTTTCGAAGGAAGTTGTTACCCATGACTTAAGGAACATAATATACGATTTTCACTAAGTTTCATAATCATTTTCGTGGTAGAATCTCATTATTATCAAAACCCTAGGTTTTTCTCTAAACCCATAATTTTCACAATTTTATACATGTTAATCTACCCATAATCTAAGTACTTAACTCACATATGGTAGAAATTACTTACCTCTAAAAGCTAGATGAAAATCCTTCTCAAGATGTAACGACCGGACCAGTCGTTTTAAGCAGTGGTTTGAGGCCATGAGCAGCTTCACTTCAGGTATTATGACTTGTACGCATGGTCGAAATTGAATTCCGGGAAGTTCAGAGTTGATTTGGAAAGAGAATTCTCATTTCGGAAGCTTTAAGTTGGAAGAATTTACTAAGATTGAATTTTTGAGTAAACGACCATGGAATCAGGATTTAAAGGTTTCAGCAGGTTCGTATGATGATTTTGGACTTGGGCATATACCCGGATTGGGTTTTGGATGACCGGGAGCGTTTCGGCGCCTATTGTGGAAGTTAGCATTTTCGAAGAATTCTATAAGTTTGGGTTGAAGTGCAATTTAGTGTTATCGATGTCCGTTTGGGATTACGAGTCTGGAATAGCTCCGTATGGTGATTCTGGTATTGGGAGCGCGAACAGAAGTGGATTTGGAGGTCTGTAGGTCATTTTGGAGTCATTTGGCTAAAGTTAGAAATTTGAAAGTTTTTGAAAAGTTTAACCTGAAGTGGACTTTTTGATATCGGGGTCGGATTACAATTCCAGAAGTTGGAGTAGGTCCGTAATGTCGAATATGACTTGTGAGCAAAATTTAAGGTCAATCGGGCATGATTTGAGAGGTTTCGGCATCGAATGTAGAAGTTTGAAGTTCTAAAGTTCATAAAGCTTGAATTGGGGTATGATTCGTGATTTCGACGTTGTTTGATGTGATTTGAGGCCTCGAGCAGGTCCGCATTATGTTTTGGTAGGGGTTTGCATTCGAATCGGTTTATCGATAAATCGAATCGATTATTTGTTATCGAAATCGAAATCGAAAAAATCGAAACCTTATTGAAACGATAACGATAAGCATATGTACAAATCGATAATCGATAAGGGTCAAAATCGAATCGATAAATCGAATGCACACCCCTAGACTGTAGACACTTGTTAAATAAGTAATTACCTATTTGTGTAGATTAATATTCCGCTACTATTTGAAAGCGGCTATACAATATTATTTTCCTTAATCTATACCCTTTCCTTTACCCTAAGTCCCTTACCCTATTATTTCCTCTACCACATTTAAGGAATGATCATATTTAAAGATCAAGGGAATGAAGTTCAAATTAATGGAAAACAGAATTAGCTGTGATGATGTGTTTTGTTTTGTTTTGTTTTGTTTTTTTTATACCGTTGGAGTGTTGGTGGCAAACATTTGATCCCTTACTTTAGTTTTGTTGCATGTGCTTGTTGACATAATTTTTATATTATAAATGGTGTTCGTCTTATTTTAGCTTCTTTTTGTCCATATTAGTTAGGCACGTTTATAGCGATATACTTTCCGTAGAATCCCGCAAATTTTCTTATTGGTGTAATCGATAACCGAATCGATAAGCCCCCAAAATCGATAAATCAAATTCAAAAAAATCGAAACCTTATTGAAACGATAACGATAAGCATATGTACAAATCGATAATCGATAAGTAATTATCGATAAGGGTCAAAATCGAATCGATAAATCGAATGCACACCCCTATGTTTTGGGACTGGTTGGCATGGTTGGTCGGGGTCCCGGGGGCCTCGGGTGGATTCCGGGTGGTTAACGGATCAAATTTGGAATTTGAAGAAGAATTGAAATAGCTGGTATCTAGTGTAACCGCACCTGCGAGGCTTTGGCCGCAGGTGCGGAGCCGCAGAAACGGCCTAGGTGTCGCAGAAGCGGAGCGGAGCAGTCAGGCGAAGGACCGCAGGTGCGGAGTTGTGGCCGGATCTGCGCAAGCGAAGAAGCAAAGAAAGAGGCGCAGAAGCGGAGGAGGACCGCAGGAGCGGGATTTTGACCGCACCTGCGGAGCCGCAAAAGCGGCTACTATTCCGTAGGTGCGGAAATGTCGCTTGGAAGAAGGGTTTTATAAAAACGGTACTTGGCCTATTTTTCTCCCATTTTTATTTGGGTTGGACGATTTTTGGAGCTCTTGGAAGGGAGATTTTCATCATCTATGTCAAGGCAAGTGATTCCCACCTATTGCAAGTTAAATACTTGGATTATATATGGATTTAGACATAAAAAATTGTAGAAATTATTGGATTTGGAAGAAAACCTAGAAATTTGTATTCTTAGATTTTGATCACGAAATTGGACATGAAATTGGGAATAAATTATATATTTGAGTTCGTAAGGTTATGGGTAATGTTTATCTTCGAAATTTTTTAAAATTCGGGCACGTGGGCCCGAGGGTGATTTCTATCGACTTTCCGAGCGGAGTTGGGAATTGTTGTAAATAGTGTTGTTATGAGTGTTAGAGTGTATTTTCATTGGTTTGCGCATTGTTAGGCTAGTTTTGGAGCATTGGGCATCTGTTTGAGGTGCTAGAGTGGCGATGGAGTCGGTTATGGAACTTCGGAGCGAGGTAAGTCTCCTTTCTAACCTTGTAAGAGGGAATTAACCCCATTGGTGAACTAAATTATTATGTGCTTCTACTTGTGGGGGCTACGTATGCACGAGGTGACGAGAGTCCGTATGTAGCTACTTGCTATGCCTATGTCCTGGTAGTTTTAGGATTACATCATGCCCTGTTGATATTGTTATTGATTTATATTTATTGCTTGCTTTGAGAGGTAGCGAGATTGAGTTTGCTTATTAAATATTTTGAAATGAGTGAAATTTGAAGAATATAAGATTTAAAAGGTTTCATTTGAACTTCGTATTTTTGAAAAGAATAGAGAAATATTATAATAGCTTACGAAACCTATGTGTAACTGCGTCGCATGTATGTTTCGTGAGCGGAGCAGTTTCCTTAAAAGCCACAAGCTGAATTGCTGAATTTCCCTTATTTTGAAAAGAATCAAGAAAGAGATATGATTTAAATGTTAAATTTATATTTGACCGCGTCGCAAGTATGATCCGCGAGCGGGGTGGTTCCTTAAATTTATATTTGACCGCGTTGCATGTATGATTCGCGAGCGGGGTATTTCCTTCTACTACTCTTATGGAATCATGCCATTCGCCTCGACATGATTTATGTACCACACTCTCATGGGAGCAGGCCGTTTGCCTCTGCAGGTTAATAGATATATCTATGGTTCGCGCCGTTCGACCCTCGGCAGTGCACAATTTACTTTTATGTTGGATCAGGCCGTACGCCTCGACATTTCCTATATATATATATATATATATATATATATATTATTCTCAT